TTCCTTTGACCGTGCAACCCAACCAGAATCCCTTGGAAACTTAAGGTGATCCCAAAAGACAGGGACTCCCCCCCCCCCAAAAAAAAAAAAAAAAAAAAAACCCAGATGGATCTAAATTCTTAAGGCAAGTGACCCGGCCGGGCAAGGCGGGGTAGCGAAGGTGGATGGGGAGGGCATCCTGATTTTAGGCCGCTAAGTCAGAAAGCTGCACCCCCCCCCCGCACCCCATCTTCATTTAACTACGTACACCTCCTCAAAAGGAGGGGGGAGGCAACAAAGACAAATTTTCAGCTGTGCTCAGGGTGGTGGCGGGACTCAGGGGTCCTAACGTGTTTCCCTACCAAAACATCCCGAGGACCCCCAGGGGCCGCGGGCCTCCGCCACCTCAGGGCAGAGCTCTTCGGGCGGACTCAGGCTTGACACCTCGCCCGGGAAGAAACTAGTCACAACTCCCAACCCTCGCGCCCTCTTCGCCTGCCTCTCAGGCTTCTGCTTGGGCTCCCTTTCCAAGCAAGTGTTTTCCCCCACCCCAGCTTTCGACTCAACTTCCAGAAGAGTCTCGAACCCCAGCTTTGACACACACACACACACACACACACACACACACACACTCACACCTTCCCCGGCCCTGGCGGCCGCCGAGCTAGAGAGCAGGCTCGAGGCTGGGCTGCTGCCCCGGGAGCCGGAGGCCAGGGCGGACACAAACACCGGGCTCTGGGAGTGATAAGAAAATGGAGAATACTGTATTTGCTTTAGAAAGTTTTTACATATAGATAAACACGCAGTTAAGATAACAGTAAAAGCGCCCTACGGGAGTGAATGAGGCCTCCAAAGCGGCTAGGAAAAACTTGAATAGCTTTTGCATAAGAATACTACGGTCTCACTCTCTGCTTTCGCGAGCTACAGGGTCCCTCTCTCGCCTTAACCCTGGCCAGTTCGCCAAGCCTCGACTGCTAAGTCGACGCCGGGAACCCCCCTGCCCCAAAGAAAGAGGTGAGTGAGCAGGGAAGGAGGAAGGAGAGAGGAGGGAGAGGAGAAAAAGCAGGTATCATATACAAGCAATTTCTACACATATATTACAAACTGGGAAAATGACCGATCATTAAGATATACATAATTCATATAAAATTTTGAAATAAAAATAAAAATCTGTTACAGTCATAACTATTCTTCTTCCACATTTATAACCAGTACCCACACAGGCAGTGACAGAGTGGAGAGGAAAAGGTGCTTAAGAAGAAAATGATTGTCTGCTGAACAAAAAACAGAGGATCGCATCCTGTTTGACCAATACTTGGACTTAAAAACAGAGAGAAAGAGCTAAAGGAGAACAGAGCAACAGAAGGAAGAAACATTTGCTATTTCTCTCGAGGAGTTTTTTTTTCATTCTTTTTTTCTTTCTTTCTTTCCTTTTTTTTTAAAAAAAAAACAAATTCAGAATGGAGAGGTCAGATTTTTTTTTTTCTTTTTGTCTGTTTGCTTTTGTCGTCTTGTCGCGGTGGTGGTGGTTTTTTTGTATAGTCGACTCTTTAAATCATTTTAAACTAGAGAGAATATTTTCCCAGATACAAATGAATCGTCATGCAGGTGGGGTGCCGGGTCCGTGGGAACCAAAAGGAGAAGCCGTGCTTGCCCTACAAAGTATACAATTGTCACCTCTTTTACGTTTTCAGCCCGCAACATCAGCGTTTGTGGCTGTCTTTTGGCGTCGCGGTCCTTTGGGGTGGCCGTGGTGGTAGGTGGTGGGGGGTTGTTGATGGTTTGAGGTTAATTTATTTTTCTTGGGTTTTTTTTTTTTAAATATATTTTTTGGCTGGGGTGGGAGCGTGTATGGACTCGTGTGTGTATGTGGCTGTGTATCCTGATTTCGGTTTGTTCTAGGGATGGAGAAGAGAAGGAAGGGGAGCGAGGCTGGAAGGAGGAGGGGAAGGCGGAGGGGGAGGAGGGGAAGGAGGAGGAGGAGGGCGGCCTTGGCTATCATACATCACATTCCGAGTCGCTGGAGGTTACCGAGAGGATCGAGGTGCCGGTGTCCGCGCGCTCCGTCAGGCTGGACACACTGGTGGTCGGGCTGGCTGCCGTGGACGGCGACTCTGCCGAGCCGTGTGTGGGGCAGCCGGGCTCGGCCAGCGAGCGCATGCCGCTCGGTCCGATGGCCTGGTGCTGGAGCCTGCGGGAAAGAGAGAGCCGTGCCCGCCCTGACTCCACGGCCCGCCACCCTGCTCCCCTCGCTCGCACCGTGGGGAGCCTGGCCCGGCTGGGCCGGCACTCCCCTGCCTCCGCGGCCTTCCGCGTCGCGCGTGCCCCTAGCCACAGCCCCACGGCTGAGCCCAGGGTTCTTCCTGGCACCCAGCTGCCCACTGAGTGCCGCAGACACTTCCTAACCAAGCCCGAGCTCCCGGCTCCTTGGTCCTGGGAAGCAGTCCAGTTAGGGACGGCCTCAGAGGAGAGGTAGAGCCAACCCCGGGCCAGGCCAGTGCCTGCAGGGAACTGAGCAGGCGGCAAAGGCCGCCGACCAGCAGACAGCGGGGAAGAGCTTTGCCTTTCCGCAACCCGCCAGGCTCGGAGAGTCAGGGATTCCACAGAACCGTCTGCCACGGCTTTCTCAAACACACACCCAGAGCTGTGGGGGTCCTCCCCGCAGCAGCCGCCGCTCTGCCTTCTGAATCCCTACGCAGAAGGCGCAGAACACGGGGAAGAGAAAACAGGGGAGCTGGAAGTTAAAAGATGGGGGAAGAGGAAGAAGAAAGAAAGGGGAAGAAAGACAAGGCAAGGAAGAAGACAGACTGTCTCTTTCTGGGTGAAGCGGTTACCTGAACCTAGTGTCTCACCACAAGGAAGCCTTTCTCTGGTCCTGGGCGCTCCCCCCATCTGGCGAAAAGTGGCCTCCGCAGGCAGAGAGCGAGGGAAGTGGGCTCAGGCCCCGGCCACCTAAACCCACCACACCCCAAGGCTCCAGCCACCAGCATCTGTCAGCAGCTGGGGCCCTGCTCCTGGCAGTGTCCCAGGCCTAGTGCCGTTCAAACTGAGCAAAGCTCTGTTATCAGAGCTTTTGCTCAATTCTCCCACTCCTTTCTCCCTTCCCTTTGGACTCATCTTCTCTCGCCCCTCTCCTTTCTCTCCTTACTTTCTCCCAGCCTGGCTTCTTAAAGATCCACCAGAACCAAAACAACTTTGTGACTTTGTGACCAACTTGCCTGCAACAGAACGGCACCTGGGGGTTTGCCCCCGGACTAAGTGCACCAAAGGATGGATGCTGCTTAGATGAGGATACAGGGAGCCTTAGTGGCTGAGGAGCAGCGGGAGCAAACACACCGTGTGTGTGTGTGTGTGTGTGTGTGTGTGTGTGTGTGTGTGTGTGTGTGTACACTGAACACACGAGGCCTCTTCGCTCGCAGCCTACAGCTGCCTCTCCTGTTAAGGGTCAGGAAAGGGAGCTCCGTGGACGGTGGTCATGGGCCTTCTCCCCTCTCTGGCGGGAGCCCTGGGTCCACTTTCCCCTCTTTGAGGCTTGGGTTCCTCTCAGCCTTTCCCGGTCTCTCTGACGATGCGTACAAATAACGAGACAGCAAGCAGTGCTGTTTCCCCCTCCCAGCCGCAGAGCTGGGGTCAGGGCTGAAGCGGAGCTGCGAGGAAGCTAAGGCCGAGGGACTGGCCCGGTGGGTGGAGGACGCCGGAGGTCCACTCACACAGTTCCGCTCTGATAAAAGCCGCTCCGGGCAAAGCCGGCTACAAGCCCACGGCCGGCCCGGGTTCCAGGGCAGCCAGAAACTTTCCCTAACTCCCCAGAGGGTACCGGCGTCTCCAGCGCGGGGTCAGCCGCCGCCGCTCGGCCCCGGTCGCCCGCGGCTCGCCCTGTCTCCCCTTCCCCGGCCCCGGAGGCTGCGGCCCGGCCGCCGTCCCCGCCACTGACCTGTTCTTGGCCGCCGCGGCGCGGTCGCGCTGTCGCCGGTTCTTAAACCAGTTGCCTACTTGTGTGGGGGTGAGGCCGGTGGCCTGGGCCAGTTCGCGTTTCTTGCTGGGGTTGGGGTAGGGGTCCTGCAGGTACCACTCCCGCAGCAGGCTCCGAGTCCGCTCCTTGAAGCAATGCGTCTTCTGCTCGCCGTCCCAGATGGTGCGCGGCAGCGGGAACTTCTTGCGCACGCGGTACTTGTCCACCGGGCCCAGCGGGCGTCCGCGCAGCTTCTCGGCCTCCTGGTAGTGCGCCTCGAGCCACATGGCCTGCAGCTTGCCGTGCGACTCCTTGGTGAACTTGTGGTTCTCCAGGATGTGATAGAGGTCGCGGAAGTTGCCCGTGTGGAAGGCGACGACGGCGCGCGCGCGCAGGATCGACTCGTGTTTGTTGATGGCCTCGCACGCCCCGGGGGCCACGGGCAGGGACCAGAGGAAGCGGCCCAGCCGCTCGATGTCGCCCGTCTCCTCCAGCGTCTCGCAGACGCTGGCCACCTGCTCCGCCGAGAAGTTGAGGGTGGGCAGCTGGAACATGGACAACTCTTCCGGAGGGGCCCTGGAGCCGCCGCCGCCGCCGCCCGCTCCGCCAGCACCGCCGCCGCCCGCACGGGTCCCGCC